CGTACCTGTACTTCAGCAAACCATTTGATTCTGTGCGGCATAACCGTCTGCTCCAAGCGTCATGCTTACGGTGTGAGAGGTAATTTGGTACGCTGGACCAAGGCTTTTCTTGCTCACCAGATGCAGAGAGTGCGGGTCCAGGGCTCGAAACCGGACTGGACCGACGTTGTCAGTGACATGCCGCAAGGATCAGTGCTTGGACCAACGCTGTTCAAAATTGTCGTTGAGCGTGGTCAAGATGTTCGCGGATTGACACCAAGGTCTATTGTCGTGTCCGGAGGCCCCTGACTAACTCACCTTTGCATATTGACCTCGACTCCCTGGCCAAGTGGTCAAAGGAGTGGCTGCTTCCCTTGAGCGCAGCAAAGTGCATAAAAATGCATATCGGGAACTGCAACCCGAGGTGACCTACTCCTTGGACGGCGCCGAAATCGCGGCCGAACCCACCAAGAAGAACCTCGGGATCTTCGTGGATAATCGGCTCAAGCTCCACGTGCAGACGGCAGGAGCGATCTCCAAGGCCAACCAGATGCTAGCGGTCGTGAGGCGGTCTTTTGCCAGCATCGATGATCGCACGTTGCCATTGCCTCTGTAAGATCTTATTACGTCCGTACTTAGAGTATGGCAACGCCATCTGGGGCCCGTTCGACAAACTGGACAGAAGCGGCTGGAGCGGGTTCAGCGACGAGCCCGACTTGTGTGTGAAGTGAGGCGCCAACCATACCCTGAGAGGCTCAGATTCCTTCAGCTGCTCTCGCTGCTCTACCGTCGTCACAGGGGAGACATGGTAACAGTGTACCAGCAGTTTCACGGAGGTATGTCGCTGTCGGAAGAGGAGTTCCTGACAAGGCACAACTCGGAGGTGACAAGAGGACACCAATGGAAGCTCAGAAAACCTCGAGGTAGGACTCCCATCTGTCGTAGCTCGTTCAGCACGCGGGTTGTCAGCGATTGGAGCGCTCTTCCATACCCGGTCGTGTTGTCAACCTCAGGTGACCAGTTCAAGTCTAGGTTTGATATGCACTGCGCTGACGTCATTTATGACGTCCCACACTAAATCTATCCATAATTTGAGACTGTTTGGTAACCGAACTGGGAGCCTGACGAGACCGGGACCTACAGGCCTAGTGGCCTTTTATAATTCCCGATCACGATAAGGTAAGGTTAGGTGTGGTATAGTGCTAGTCAAGTATTGATCATAGATTTGCTGTATTTTTAACAAAAGGGGCATGTTTTGGGTCATGAAATGGCGCACATTATAGTGGCGCAGTGCGATCGTCGCAATGCCGCTTGTCTGGTATTCATCTACTATGCGTCGCGTTTAACAAGCGTAGGGCCCATTCCGTCGAGGGAAAGTGAACGTGAGGGCGGCGGCGTCGCACCACAGTTACGCGCAGACGTCGTACTGCAACTGGATCATTGTTTTCATAAGAAGCGTTGAAGACAGCTAAGTGGGAGCGGCTCACTGTAGCAAAAACCGCTTAGATCATTGAGACCAAACTTAGCCCTATATATTTTGTGTTACGCTGGCGGCACATTCTGGGCATTCCAGCATGGCTTTGACTCAAGTTGAGAGGTAGGTTGATTGAATGTGTATTTTAAAGAAGTACAGGATGCATAACGCAGGCAAAGCAAAACAATATACTTATACCCCCCCACACTGCATAAAATAAGCAACCCCGAACATATCTGGGTGTTACAACCCATGCCAAAGCACTCAGAGTTTGGCATGCAGTGTCACCAATTCCAGTACATAAAAAGCCTATGTTCCAAGGAATTATCATATTGAGAAGGAAACTGCTCAAACTACCTCAAAACATTTTTTACCCCAAGGAGTTTGAATTTCAGCTTACTGTGTACTGGCCTCAGTTTGGCACACATGAGCTCAAAGGTTCAACACACTGAGATGTGTGGTATTCAATGTTGTGACAAAGTTGTCCAGCACATGGTATGTACTGTATGTACATTGTATGTACCTTTGTGGTGCACAATGTGTGAGCATAAGCCTGGAGCCATCACCTAAATGTGCAAATGAACAGTTATTTAAGCAGAACCATTTAAGGAGATGTTACACATTTTCATGGGGTTTTGAACTGAAGCAGCCATCTTGGAGATAATTTGGTACAGTTCACAGCCCTGACTTAATGTCTAAAACTCAATTTTTTAGCCAGATGCCCACAATATTTATAAACTTTTTGGAGAAAGCTATGTCAAGGTCACCCAGGCATTCATGACATCATAATAACATGATTTTGAGCCTGCCATTCCATTGGCTGTGTAGGAATCAAGGGTAAGGCAAATATAATCATCTTGTTGAGTTGCTGACATCTTGAACATATTTGTATGTGTGATTTCCAGATATGACCACCATCAACTGGCTGTCAATTAATATTTGTAAAGCATGATGACCTAATCAATCATCTTGAGAAGGATATGTACTAAACATAGAAAATCTTTTGACCACAGAAGCCCTTTCTCTCAAAAAGCATACCAAAAGTTATAATTCAGCTTGTTTCATCAGATCTGATGCTTGCTTCAGTATCTTCAGATGTGGCTTTCCCCCTAAAGCATCTGGGTTATCACTGTATCTGTAAATTTATCTTACTGTGCACTTTTTTATTTAGAGAGGTGAAAGCCTATAGACTTTAGACTTTGTTCTCCCTGAGTGCATGTGGTGCATCAAAAACCAAGGCAAAGGTGATAACAATATGTTTGCTGCAACCTGTATTTGCCCCCAAGTTTCTGCTTTCATCTGGCAGTTGTGTCTGATATGTTCTAGCTACATTGGGATGTCGGACATATCATCACCAGAGGACTTCAGTCATCAGGCATCATCAAAGAGGTCACGAAGTCCATCTGTAGAGGGCGAGGAGAGTCGTGGCAGGTCCTCGCACAGGTCATCCAAGAAAAAGAAAAAACATCATCATCATCACAGGTCCAAGAGCCACAAACATAGACATTCCAGCAGCAAACACAAGTAAGAGTGATGGAAGTAGGATAGGAGCAACCATTATTTTGCAAGAAGCAACTTGTAACTTTCAAAATTTCTTTTGGCATGGTTACTCCCCTAGACATGCTGCTTTCTTTGTTGCATGGACATGGATTTTGCCAACTACAGTACTTTTTCTGTTTTGACAAGAAAGTGTGTTGGCATTGGTGTTTATGTGAGGTGGTCAGTCATAATTTTCCCGAAGTATGCATCTCCAAACCAATGCCAGATGTTGGCATCATACCCCACTGTCACACATGCAATCTTGCAGAAAGCTCACTAAAACATCTATCTGTCTGGTGGGTTATCGGATGTTCCGTGCTCCTCGTGCTTTGTCAGGATTTATACCCTGCCAGAGCTGCCCAGGCCAGTATCAGTCGTCAGCGCGTGCGCGGTTCACCATAAGTGTGTCTGCTGCGGCCCTTGACGTTCACGCACCGCCGCAGAAAGCACCGTCGCCACCGGGACCGCTCGGACGAGCGTCCGCCAGGCTCGCCGCCGGCGGCCGACGGCCCCGCCGCCGACCGCCGCCGCCGTCCGCCGCCGCCGCCGCCGTCGCCGCCGTGCCGTCGGCGGAGCCAGAGCGGGCGCCTCCGCCACCGCCACCGCCACCGCCGCCGCCGCCGCCGCCGCCGCCACCCGTGCGGCTGGTGGATGTGGACGACTCGTCCGGCGACGAGTCTGGCCCAGTCCAGGCGCCAGCCATCAGCAACGATGCGAGCATGGATGTGCCGGCGCTGGAGGACACACTCGACCTGGATGACCTCATGCACCAGAAGGTAAGGCCGCTCGGAGGGGGTGGGCGTCAGCTACGTAGCTCCCTGATGTCGAACCGGTTCCCGTGGACACACCGTGGTATGCTGGTGGATGTGTGGGTCATGTACAGTGATCAGTCTGCACATTCAGGTAATCCTTGTCAGCCCTCTGCTAATGAACACTTTGCAAAGGCCTGGCATTTGACTTTCACTTTAGTACAAAATCTGGGACATTTGACCACTAAATCGCCTATGTTGCATTACTCTCAAGTGGAATTTGGATGCTTTATTATTTCTACCACAGTCGGCCAACGACCCGTGCCTTTCGTGTGGCCCTGCCTCCACGTGCGCCGCGTGTCGTGTCGCGTGTCGTGTGCAGGATGCGTCTCACGGCCCTCCTGCCTGCCGGCGCCGCCAGGCCCTGCTGCAGGCGCGGCTGGACGAGGTGTTCACCGAGGTGCGCGAGGAGCTGGCGCAGAAGGCGCCGCCGCCGCCGCCACCGGCGCCGCCCGAGATCATCAGCCTCGACTCGCTGCCGGCCGAGGCGGAGGTGATCGAGTTGAGCGACGACGAGCCGCGTGCCGAGCTGGCCGGCCGTCACCAGCGCAGGCGAGTGCTGGCGGGTGGCCGACGCCCGCCCACGTTGTGTCTACGGTCCGGGACCGCGCCGCCGCCGCCGCCGCCGCCGCCGGCCAGCTGCCTGAAACTTTGCTGTGTCCCGTGCCGGGCGCGGCCCGCTGTCAGTGGTCGGGAGAGGGAAGCTGTCAGGGTACCGGAACTATTTAGGGGGTGCACATCGGCCTGCTACATGTATGCTGTGCATCATGCATAAACGGTCTGGGTATCAGTAATTTGTTCGCACTGCTGGTATAATGCGTTCAAAATGATGCCATGAAATCGCCTTCATGATGTTTATGTAGAACTGTTGGGATCACATAAGTCGTGAAGTGCATTTGAAAGACATAAATTAGACAGTAGTGATAGCCTTTGTGTTAGATAAAACAGGCCTTACTGATAGCTCTTTCATTAGATAAGACAGTGCTGATAGCCTCTATCGCAGAATGACCAGAAGAGCGAAGAGATAGGTGGCTTGATATTTCGGGTACACGCCTTTATTAATGCGGATGTCAGTAGTAAGTCCCAAATTTTTATCATAAATATATATTTGCCTTATCTATAGAACTGTTTGGAATCAATCATGTGTTTTTTACCGATGTAATGGCGTGATATGTGTACTCATTCTTAAGCGTAACGACCTCACGCTTGCTGTCCGAAGTGGCGCCGGCTATGCGTTTCCTTGCTCTATCCTTGTGCCTGTACATATATAATCAGAGCACGTACACAATACGATCCCCCGGTGACTATTGCTGGTGTCGTCCTGTTCCAGGTCCGGCGAGCAGGATGGCCGCCAGGGCCGGTCGTCCCGCTCCCGTCGTGACGAGTCCCGCTCGCACCGGGAAGGGTCTCGCTCTCACCGGGACGAGTCCCGTTCTCACCGCGATGAGTCACGCTCTCACCGAGACGAGTCCCGTTCTCGCCGGGACGAGCTCCGTTCTCACCGAGACGAGTCCCGCCCTCACCGTGAGGGGTCTCGCTCCCGTCGGGACGGGTCCCGCTCTCACCGGGACGAGTCCCGTTCTCACCGTGACGGGTCCCGCCCTCAGCGTGACGAGAGCCGCCCTCAGCGGGACGAGCCGCGCTCTCAGCGGGACGAGCCGCGCTCTCAGCGGGACGAGCCGCGCTCGCACCGCGAAGGCTCGCATCCGGGCCGCGAGGAGCGGCGCCACTCCACCGAGGCGCGGCCCGGCTGGCGGGAGGAGCGCGAGCGGCCGCGGCGAGCCAGTCGCGAGGCTGAGCGGCGCGCGCCGCCGCCGCCGCGCGGCCGACAGCTGGAGCGGCGCGGTGGCGGCGGTGGCGGCGGTCGGCCTGAGAGCAGGGAGCGGCGCGAGCGGCGCCAGAGCCGTGACCGACTGCTGCAGCGACGCGAGAAGAGGCGGCTCGAGGAGGACGGCCGCCGCCCGCCTGCCGGCGACAGGGACAGGCGGTACGACTTCGGCGCTGTCTGATGCCGCCGTCAGTCGGATGTTCTCCTGTTGGGCTGGCACCTTCTTTGTCATTGCAGTCAGCGCGCCATAAAGTCCTAGTAAACACTTAAAGGGCCCTGTCGCTTGATGCGCTCCTGTACTGTGCTGGCAGCGTCTCACATGCGCGCTCGACGCCTGGCCCATGCTGGCAGCCGCCTTGGCAGTGTTGTGTGCCGCGCCGGCCGGGCGGCCAGAGCCGCGAGCCGTGCGGTGGACCAGTCTCGGTATCAGTGATGTTATCTGTCCCTGACGCTGCCGTGCGCTGCCGCAGGAGGTCCCGCTCGCCACGGGACCGGGACCGGCGCCGCCGCCGCGATGACGACGAGGACAAGTTCAAGGGCAGTCTGTCGGAGGGCCTGGCTGGACAGAAGGAGGAGGAGGACAGTGATGAGTAAGTGTCAGTCCAGCGCACGCTGACGCTGCTACCGGTCCGCCGCGCCAGCCGCAGTTAGAATATTCTTCTGGGCCAGACATCATTGTGTTGCTTCCTGTGGAGAGTGTTATCATATGGCAGTGTCACATCGTCAGACGGCTGGTAAAATATTTTGGAAGCCACGGACGTCTTCCACGTCGTTCATATGCGCTCACTGGCTGTAAGTATACCACATAACGTGCAGAGAGCTGTTATGTATTCAGTCATTGACATATTTTGTGGAGGTGAACAAGGCATACATTTGCAAATGCTGCTACTCTGGATCATTAACCGACAAATGCTCAAGTCACATCACGCCATTTTCGGAGCGCCCATTTGTCACGTCTTCACTTGGCACACACTAGAGTGGAGCCGCGTGCCCCGTGGCCCGATTGGGACCACAGCTGCCTGTCGTGCGCCACGCCAGCTGTCGCCGCGGCCAACTGCAGTGCCCAGGAGTGGACCACGTGCTGTTCCGCACCCGCCGGCCGCCTCGCACCGCCCCGCGCCGCCTCGCCTCGCCTCGCCTCGCTCGCCTCGCCCGCCTCGCCCGCCCCGCCCGCCCCGCCCCGCCCCGCCCCGCCCGCCCGCCTCGCCTCCCTGCCTCGCTCGCCTCGCCTCGCCTCGCCTTGCCCCGCCGCCCGCCCCGCCCGCCCCGCCGCTGACGTCTTTTTGCGGCAGGCTGCTGGACCTGGAGGTGGACGAGGAGGAGGACGAGGAGGCGCTGATCGAGCGGCGTCGCCAGGAGCGTGAGCGGCTGCTGCGCAAGCTGGGCCACGCCACCGAGGACTCAGCCACCTCGTGGTCGCAGCCGGGCAGCCCGCCAGAGCTGCGCGTCCTGGAGAGCATGGAGACGTCACCGCAGAGCGGCGCGGCGGCCGCCAGCGGGCCCGAGACAGAGGCAAACGGGTGAGCACCGGCCGCTTCCCGGAAGGCGGGCGAGGACTGGAAGGGGGCGGAGGAAGCTGGGGCGGACCGGGTAGGAAGGAGAGACTTCGGAGGACTGTGCAGCAAAGGAAACTGAGAGGATTGGGCAGCGAAGGAGACTGGGAGGACGGGAGACGGGTAAAGACTGGACAAGGACAGAGCAGACGGGAGGCTGGGACTGGGACTGGGCAGGGGCGGAGGGATAGGAGACGGAGGCTGAGCAGGAGCGGAAGGACCAACATTTGTCCGTTTGACGTAGACGTAGGCTCCAATGTTCAATGTGCGCAGTCGACCACAGGCAATTACGTTCGATTGCGGGTGTCATATGAGGGGTGGAAATAGTCTGCTTCGTGGTAATGTCTAGCACAGGAACGACAACTGGAATTAGCCCCTAGCCCTAAGCTGTCGAAGTTTGTGAGGTGCGGCCGGGCGTCGCTGGCTGCCCGCAGCAGTGACCCGCGGGACGCCGCCGCCGCCGCCGCCCGGCACTGATCACCGCTCGTCCGGCAGCGCGGAGGCGCCGGCCCGCGAGCGGCAGCCGAGCGAGTCGGAGCGGACGCGCGCCGAGGCGCTGGCGCGCCGCAAGAGCCGCGACGCGCCGACCAGCGCCACCGACATCTTTGCCGAGGACTTCGCCAGCCCCAGCCTGGGTGACCAGCAGGTGACCCACTTCACGGACAACCCGCACCTGCGTGACAACTGGGACGACGCCGAGGGCTACTACCGCGTCCGCATCGGCGAACTGCTCGACGCCAGGTGGGTCTGGCCGCGCCAGCCAACGACGTAGCGGCTGCGTGGTCATCTTCGTGACGGCCTTCGTGAACTCACACTGTTGTGAATCTGTTGACAAAAAAACACCCGCCGTTGACGTATTTGAGGACCTAGCATTTTCTCATTTGATTCATTTTGTCGTGAATAGAGATCATAAAAGAGCAATTAATGCAAAATAGATGGAACATTTTGGCCAAGTTATGGTGATTGGATGCAATGAATGACATGAACATGCAATGCACGGATTCTCGAAGGTAGGAATTGTAAACCTGGCGAACCAGACATTGATGGAACTGTTGAAGGCGTCGACGTGCGCAGCACCGAGCGGCGACGCTCGTCGCCGGGGGTCGGCAAACAGCCCGCCGGCTCGTCGCCTGCGGGCCGCTCCCATAGCCATACCCGTAGTTACGGAAAGATCGCCTAGAAAGCTATCAAACTATGCATAATGACATGTAAATCCGTTGTGATACTGCGAAGGATATATTACGAAACATGAGTGACGTCATCACATTTTACACACATCAACAGTTTGTTGTCCTGATTTTGAGTGAAAGTGAAGCGAAAAGCTGGGGTGTTTGCAGAATTTTGCAATGGCGGGAGCACAACTCTTCATTTCGTTCAGTTTCGCTCACTTGTTAACTTCGTGATCATGTATGATTTACGAAAATGTGAACGTATCGCGATATCCCTTGTGATTTGCGGAAAGCGTTTGCTTTGTGATCTCTAATGTGCCTCGCGGAAGCGTGTTCGCCCTGTGATCTGCAGTGCGATCCCGGACAGATACTCGCGCTTTGTATCACCAAGGTGAACTGCGAAACCGTTAATGGTGAATGCAGTTGATGCTGTTTGTAAAGTTGATCAGATGATCGCTGTCGACACTGGTACACGTTTTTTGATGCGTATAAAGTCATAGGGAACCATTTTGTAGTTAGCACACCGGCAAGTGTTGTCTCTGTTGTGATAAGCCATCTAGGAACGCGGCAATGGCCCGAAAATAGGAAAACAAATCGTAGTTTCCGTAAAACCCTCCGGAGTTGAAATGTAACAATAAAAGCCCAAAAGCTATCAAAAAACTAATCCAATTATAACCCTTGGTTTTTGCGAAAATCCGGGGTGTTTGTGTAGTAGACCGAAAGCAGGCGTATAAGTACGAAAAGCATGCGTCATTATGCTGCGTTTCGGGGGCTCAGACAACGTTATTGAGTGGACAAAAGCACCCGGTTGATATCGAGACTAGAAATCCATGCCACGCCACTCCTATCGAGATAAAAGGTGTTAAAAACATGCAAAGGACGATTTTATTAAATTATAATTGGGTTCCAGAACCAGAACAGCCGGAGATCTGATCCGCAATCCAATGCAATACGCATTGCATTAGTGGTTTTCAAATGCAAGCGCGATCTAAACAAAACAAAACAAAAAAATGTGCAGATTGTAGGCCTGCAGATTTATGCCCATCTCTGGCAAACAGTGGTATTGTATAGGAACTCCAGATATGCGTGACATGAGAAGAAGATACAGTTCCCGGCACAGACCCTGGCGTGGCACGAGGTGAACGCCAAACCTCGGGCGCCATTTCTGAGGCCGTAGAAGAGCGGTAACGGTCATCGTCGCCAAATTTGGTGTCCCGGGTTGTGTTGGTCAAATGAGCTATGACGGCCGCACAGGCAGTTGTTATAGGAAAGTGACCTTTCAAAAGTCCACCTAGACCGGAGGCATTTGACAGCCTTGTTTAACGTTTTACCGCCCAAAGGTCGTTTTAGTGCGGACTTCGATTCAGAATACGATGTTGTGCTTATATGGTCTGAGGGGCACCGTTCTTTACTCTGAGACATTGCAATCTCATGGTATGGTATGCCGATGCCAAATGCCGATAGTGTAGTGATTAACGCACCTGTGTTAACCACTGCACGTCAGAGAGAAAAGAGGTACGGGGTTCGGTTCCTCCGTGGTGCCCGCCCTTCCCGCCAGGGTGAGCGACAGGCGACGCCACAAAGCTTCTGCAGCGGAGTGCATCGCTCAGTCCCAGTGACGACTCCATCCTACCATGCATTAAGGTTGTCCTGTCCTGGGTGGCACCGGTTGACCTCAAGCGGTCAACTAGGTATTGCTGGATTTATTATACACCAGGCCATGGCATGTTTTGTTCGCAGCTCTACTTCATGCTGGGGCCAAAGGGTGAGGGTTGTCTTTTATGTCTACGATTCTGCTTACCTAGGCTTACGTTTTCGCTACTTTGTCTACGCGCCGGCAAGCATGCCAAGTCTATAAACAATTCCGCTCGCTTCGGACGTAAGATGCGCCTTAATGAACGTGAGTAAATGCATTTTTTATGCGAGTTTGGAAGGCGCTGCTATTTCAAAAGGTAACATGACACTTGGGACGCTGTGATGAGGGAGACAGTGTGCCTGGACTACTCAAAGTACAAATCTAATGTAAAAATATGCATGTCGCAAAGTTATCACTTCTGTACCGAAGCGAAGTGCAATGTTTTGACTCGCGTGCTGTTTGTGCGCAGCCGCGGGACAAACACGGTTACGGTTTCTGTAAACATCATACTTGTCGACTTTTTTCGTATTGAAAAACAGTGACCTTGCCAGTCATCTTGTGAACCTTACCAATCAGAGGCTATTCGCGCTGCTTGCGGTTATATCCATTCAGGCAAAAACAAAAACACAACTTGGCTTGTGTTTGCGTCTTGCTGTGGGGTTTATATTATCTAAATAAGCTTATTAATTTATTTCATCAAACGTAAGTTTATTGAATGTTGGTACGTACTTTTTTATTTTTCATGACAATATGTGCTTGGAATAAGTCAACTTAAAAACAATGAGAAACACAACAATAAATGTTCCTCGGGTGATCCATTTTGTTACTGCGTTACTTTGGGCATTATTGGCAAAACAATCTCAAACTTGCCCAACGTTGTGATACCAGACATGTTTCGTGATGTACATTTCGTCTGGGGCATTAAACCCCATTCATTAATTCATTCAGCCATACTGCTTTTTATCTGAAACATTCTTCGAAGAAATGCGCGAGGTTTAGCGCGTGGCTAACAATGCGATGACAGAAAAATCACTGTATTTTTGTATGCGGGGCAATAATTCGGGATTTGGGACGTTGGAAACCATTATTTTTGTCGTTGTCTCTTTGTGTCTTTGTCTTTTGTGGTCTAACGGTGAACAAAATCAGGAAAAATGAGGGAAATTGTCCATATTCAGGCAGGGCAGTGTGGCAACCAAATTGGAGCAAAGTTCTGGGAGGTTATCTCCGACGAGCATGGCGTCGACCCCACAGGGACGTATCATGGCGACTCCGACCTGCAGCTCGAACGCATCAATGTCTACTACAACGAGGCCAGCGGGGGCAAGTATGTACCAAGGGCGATATTGGTTGATCTCGAGCCTGGAACCATGGACTCGGTGCGTGCTGGCCCATTTGGACAGATTTTCCGACCAGATAATTTCGTCTTCGGACAAAGCGGTGCCGGAAACAATTGGGCAAAAGGTCACTACACAGAGGGCGCAGAGCTAGTGGATTCAGTCCTGGACGTTGTAAGGAAAGAAGCGGAGAGCTGCGACTGCTTGCAGGGCTTCCAGATGACGCATTCTCTTGGCGGCGGCACCGGCTCCGGAATGGGAACACTGCTCATTTCCAAGATACGAGAGGAGTATCCCGACCGCATTATGAATACCTTCAGCATTGTGCCTTCTCCTAAAGTATCTGATACCGTTGTTGAGCCGTACAACGCTACGCTGTCCGTGCACCAGTTGGTAGAGAATACGGATGAGACATTCTGCATCGACAATGAAGCCCTGTATGATATATGCTTCCGCACTCTGAAGTTGACGACTCCAACGTACGGCGACCTCAACCATCTGGTGTCTGCAACCATGTCTGGCGTGACCACCTGCCTACGATTCCCTGGCCAGCTGAACGCCGACCTCAGGAAGCTGGCCGTCAACATGGTGCCCTTCCCCCGTCTTCATTTCTTCATGCCCGGCTTCGCGCCTCTGACGTCCCGCGGAAGCCAGCAGTACCGGGCTCTCACCGTGCCCGAGCTCACCCAGCAGATGTTCGACGCCAAGAACATGATGGCCGCCTGCGACCCGCGCCACGGGCGATACCTCACCGTGGCCGCGATCTTCAGAGGCAGGATGTCCATGAAGGAGGTGGACGAGCAGATGCTTAATATCCAAAACAAAAACAGCAGCTACTTCGTCGAATGGATTCCCAACAACGTTAAGACGGCTGTATGTGACATTCCGCCCCGTGGCCTCAAGATGTCTGCCACGTTCATCGGCAACAGCACCGCCATCCAGGAGCTGTTCAAGCGCGTCTCGGAGCAGTTCACTGCCATGTTCCGGCGCAAGGCCTTCCTCCACTGGTACACGGGCGAGGGCATGGATGAGATGGAGTTCACGGAAGCGGAGAGCAACATGAATGACCTGGTGTCCGAGTACCAGCAGTACCAGGACGCCACTGCGGAGGAGGAAGGGGAGTTTGACGAGGAAGAGGAGGAGGAGGGTGCGGAACAGTAGAAACGGTCTTCGGATTGTCTTGTTGTCCTGTCGAAACAGTTATTACCAGCGTATCGTCTAAATTCAATATACCCCGTTCCAAAAAATTAAATGCACACTTTTGATCGGAATTATCGCAACGCATTGACGAGCTGGTCATAAGGTCGAGTTATTGTAAGATACTCTTGAAAGAGGGCTGTCATTTACCGAAGAAAGGGAAGACTCCCTTCCCCATATGTGGGAATAATTAAGCATTTACCTTGAGATGTCGCATGGAAATAAACTACCATGCACGATGAGAAAATATGGCTGCTGCTCTTCCTATCCCCCAAAGGTACCATCTCCAGGGATAAAGTGACTTCAGAAAATTAGGAAAAATAACCCTCACGGACGCTGACTTGTAGACTGTGGGGTGGGATAGCATGAAAAGTTTGTGTTTATGAAAAGTTACAATGCTCTGGG